CAACTTTTATAATGGGATATACCAGCCTGTGCAATCCATTAGAGCACATCTCCTCCAATCAATGTGCTGCCAAACTAATTGCATGCTTTTACAAGATGACAGGCCAGTTTTGGGACACCTTCCTCTTTTAGAGGACTTGGTTGGTTGCTACGATGAGGGAGCTTGTGTCATGTTTTATTGGCTCATAGAGAGGTTCTATTCCTCGTCGTCCCCGCTTACAGTACCTCCTGAGATAGAGGAAGCAATTGACTTGAAGCCCAATCTTAACACCGACTCCATAGTTGGTTACAGTTTTCCCACGCTTTAGCGCCACATATTTGTTGGCTCTTTCACGGATACCTCCACCTCATGACGGTCGATACTACTAACACCCATCTGAGGTTCCAGGTTGAAGGTTATACCTTTAATCCGAGGCTTAACCATCGATGGCCCATTCGTAAATGCTACCACCGTGTTAGCTATAAAGGAGAGCATATTTTCTCAACCGTGTTAGCTAACTAAATGTTGTTTGCAATTACAGGCTCCACCACCACCATCATGGCCTCCACAACAAGTTGAATTGAACAATGACCCATGCAGCTCGGACGAGGAGGCAGAGCCAGGTAGTCACTACTTCAATTCTGGTTTGGCTTTAGATGGCTCCAACCACCACTAGGGATTTGGAAAAGACCTGTGATGAAGATGTTAGGGATCAAATACTACTCATGCTCTATGTCTTTGTTTAATTAGTACTGTAGTTTTATTTGCCTTTCCCTAACACCATTTTTCTGTATGCCTAAGACTATGTTTGATTATGCCTTCACTTTGTTCGATTATGCCTTGACTGTTTAATGCATGTATTAGCTCTAAAGTTATTACGAATAGGGGGAACCTTGAATATTCCACTTAATTGTGATAGTGGTACATTTAATTCTCCGAAAATGCACCACTGAAATGACGTTGGTACATTTAATCATAGTGGTACGTACCTATGTTGTGTACATACTACGTACCTATGTTGTGTACATGAAAAATAAACCTTTCATATGCATCGTGTGTACATACTACGTACCTATGCTGTGTACATGAAGTCAATATGCACAACTGCAATTAAAGTGGTACGTTTTGTACTTTTAATTGTACCTCTAGAAAACCAGTGGTAGGAGAATACTGACCCTTTCATAAGGGGCAATCAATCCAAAACTTGTCATCTAAATGAAGGGTGAACTGTAAAAGTGGTTGGATTACTTTCCATGTTGTGTTTGTAGTTGGATTACTATTTGTGTTCCTTAGCATTATTCTATGAATTATGGATTGTAATGTTCAATTTCGTTGCTGTTATTCTACTGAATTGCACTTCTATCCTAATTCATGAATACATTGACGGATCAATGGTACAAACCACACCATTTTAATGTACCATTGCAAAGACAAATGGCACTTGTACTATACCATTGTGAACTAAATTGTAAGAATATCATTTACATTCCACCAGTGGCACTTGCAATGTACCTATGGCACTGTACATTGAGTTTAAATTTCCCTGTTCGTGTAGATTGCAAAAAGTAATTAAAGTACATTTGCTGCATAATTTGCAAAATGCAACAAAACACCTAATGCAGACATTACATCAAACACTTAGCCATGAGTGGACAGACCACCTCCACAGCCAAAACAACCTAATAGTTACCCCTGAGTGGACTGACCGCCTCAGGGAGGAGTACGTTTTCCAGTAAGCGTTTAAATGTTCAATACACAGTACTCAGAGCCACCACAGTTCAACCCAGAAAATAATTACACCATCGCCCAGGCCACTAACATAACACATCACAGTTTTCGCGTTGTTTTCCTAGAACTCAGAATCAAATCCCCCATACCATCTTTCAATTCGTTCATTCCACACTGCACGTCGTCTAAGAACAAATTTGCCCGAGCACTAGGAATCTTCCCCTATAAATGTATGAACAAATACTGTAGCCAACCGCTTCAGAGATCTTAACACAAAACACAGATATATACACCACTTACCATACTGAACCTCGTGGTGAATCTTCTGGCAAAGAACTTAATACACACCAGCATAAGAACACCACAGTATGAGCTGCACATTGGAGGACCACAATCAACATAAAAGTTGTACGTTCTTTTGACCTTAAAATGGTCAGCTAGGCTGAAAGTTATTGGCACAATAAGTAAATAAGGAAACAAGTGCTTACTTATCCCTTGGCTCTAAGATCTCAACAGTGCATCTCGTCCAAGAATGTAGCTGACCAGTCTTCCTTGCTGGGTTACAAAGTCAAAAAAGGACGTCGATACCACTAACCTATAGTTTGACAAACACATTACACATAACCAAATGGGTCCCAGTAAATACCATGTTTTTTTAGAATGAAAAGCATTAGAATTAGTATGAGAAGATCAAACTCTTTGGCATGTGTGGTGAACGAGTCAGGGTACATAGAATCTATCATCCACAACTGTCGAGCCTTCATATCTAATGCTAAGCACCACCAGTGCGACTCGTCAGGGGAATCCTTAGGAACTTCAAGCACTGGGACAAAGACCTGATAAAATGACAATGTCAACGCCATAAGCACAATTTAGAGTATATACATGAAACACATTTAAACCTAGAGTATTGAACTATGAGAGTAAGTAGCTGACCGCTCGAATCTGCGACAGCTTAAAGCTCAGAAGAAATTTGGCATACTTGTTACAAATATGTTCTTCTTTTCCGTCGTTCAACAACAATCGATTCTACGATCCAAACAAAAAAAATAACAAGCATGATCATCAATTGTGCACGTAAATATGACACCCCAAAGCTGAAATGAACCACGAACCACTTACCGAAAAGCTTAGGTCAAGCAAAATACGCTTGCTTCTATTCCCAAAGTCTTTGGTGGCCCACTGCTTGGTGTATAGCACACTGGCCATTCTAACATAATCACTAGAAACCCGCAATTTATGGTGCACCACTTCAAAGAAATCCCTCTCGTTAGCTTCCATGTGGTCACACTTTATCAACACAATACCAGGGCTATGAAGTGAATCAACAACATAACACTAAGTATACACATAAACATATTAGAATTTACAATTAAAACCAAAAATTTACAAAAGGCATGCACAAAACAGACTTTTCACTCAACTACACGTTTTCGAATTACCTAAGTGGATCCTTCAGGTCCTTCCAGCGCTTTACAAACTGCAGCACACGTGCCTTGACCGTTGTATGGCGTCGGGTGTTTGACACATTGGTGAACATGGATGACAAGGCTGCCTCTGTAGGTTTCACCACCCTCTTATCTGCAGTTCCGTCCCCCTTCCTAGTAGACTCATCTTCCTAATCAGATGAAGATGAATTTGCCAAACTGCCCTGAGCATCAACCAACACAGTAGTTCTCCTCGTCCCAACCAAGCCCACTACTATTTCAGGTCTAGGCTCCATGTTCTCATCTTCCCCTTCAGGATCAGAACAACAGCCATGGAACTCTGAGACAACACCTTCATCAACCCCATCCACCTTGGATTCATCCCCAACCACCTTGACCTCACCCCCAGCCTTTGCAAACAGTGGATCAACCGAAATCTTTTGAACCACACGGTCAAGGTCATCTTCACCTGAAACTGTATCATCTTCCCCACCAAGTCCTTTCCCACCTTCTTTCAGATGTTCCTTCTCCAACAAACAACTGCCCAAAGCCTGATCTGCACCATTCACAACATCATGCTTTTCACCAGACAAGTTCTCATGCACAACAACTTCCTTCTCCATTGGCTTACCCCTCTCCATTGGCTTCCCCTTAATCACTCTTTGGGTATTAGCTACGTCAACACACTGTGACATCAACTGATGCATTGATTTCATAACGTCACCTAATTTCAAGTCTATCGCAGACATCAACTTTGAAGTAATTCTATCCAACACCTTCAGGAAAACATAAATGCAAACTATTAACAACTGGCATAGGACATATCACTTATTTTATAAAATACAAAGCTACATCTAAAACTATCATTGACTTGCATTATACCTGCCGCGTAATATTTTCCACGTCTACCTCCTGCGTAGTCTGTTGCACGTCAACTATTTCCACCCTTTGCTTTGGAACCTCTCAAGGAGTCAACGGATGCTCCTCCCCATATGCTAGTATCCAGAGACTGCAAAAGAATCAAACACGACCGCTTCAGTAGTATTCACATCAAATGAAAGTCAAACTAATACTAACTGGCAATTTTCCAAAATCCTCATATTCTTTTTTATCATCGCCAACCGCCTCATTAATTTTCTTCGGACCATGCCTCAAGTCTCGGTCTGACACCCCACCTCATTGGGACGCGACTAAGGTGATCTAGATAAAAAAAATCTACAAAAAATCCACAGGATGGATGATTTAGTTCAACTAACCATTACAAACGATAAGACTGCAAAATTTAATAAAATTACTCAAAAAGCATTTGGTGTAAGGTGGCAAATACCCAATTTTACTCACCAACAAAAAAGGATACAACCCCCAGAACTTGCAACATATCCATCACGAGCATTTGGAAACTCCTGGTTGCTACAACCATCCAGTTAAATACATAAGTGCACCAGTCATACTCATCAGCTTCATCGTAAACCAATAACGACGGTACAAGCTTCACCCTAAGATAGCTTGTATTTGTCGTAGCACACAATAAGTAGCCCAGAGCTGCTATGAGAAAGGCTATCTTGAAATAAGCCTTCTCGTCATTCGACGGCGACAACACATTACCTTCCTCATCCTTTCGAATCAATGCCCCCAAAGCAGCTACTAATGAAATTATATCATTTTCCCAAACTTTTCCAAAATTCTACTATGCTCTGCCTGCTTATCCTCAGGAATCGTACACGGCAATGCCTTCGACCCCATGTGAATTCCAAGTACGTACTCGACCTGAAGAGGACTCAAAGGAAGCACACACTCATCTCCAAAAGTTATTGAACCATCACCCATCACCCTTGTCAACAGCCAGTACACAAACTTCCGGGGTACAAAAGTTAGGGGTATACTTAACAACCCTCCAAAACCCATTTCTGTGACTAGCTTCTTCCTAGAGTCATCAAACTTCTTCACTGCAGTTGCAAAAGCCTTCACACCATGCAAATTTGGGGCCTACAAAATTACATTCAAACAAGACAAACTTCAATCAAATGACACCGGCCCAAGCCTCACAAAATAAGACCACTAACCGATTAAATTCCTTCTAGGTTACTCAAATTATTCAATTCTAACTAATCCCTTTCTAGTTTACCTCAATTTTTTACATTTCCAACTAAATTACAACAAATTACAGCAACTGTCCTTCCATACAAACCAGCTAAAGAGACACTAATTATACAATCCCATTAAATTACTTATGAATATTCTATAAGGGATTTTAATCTTGCACATCCAATTAAGGACTCACAATATTCATACTTAACTTACAACTCAAGTACAATTTACAATTAATCTTTAGTAATTCAGTTTATTTTCCCAACTACCTAAACAAAGGCCCAACCACAAAAATCCAAACAAACATAACCATGTCATGGATTTCAAAAAATGTTCAAAGAGTACCTTCTGCGTACTTCTTGATTGGGTTTTAACGACAACCCCTTTCTCCTTCGCCACTTCTCCCTTCGTCTTCTCGACCTACACATGACATTACACATTTCATTTCTCCATCCAAGTATTACACAATAAATAAGCTTTTATCATTTGCATCTAACATGAGATACCTTTAGCTTGCCCCTTTTTCCTGTCTTTTTCTCAATATGACCTCGCTTGCGCTTCCCTTTCTCAACCTTTTCCCGCAATAACTTGATTAGGAGATCCTGGTAGCTCACTTTGTCCTGCTCAAGCTCTTCCTCACTACCTTCACTGTCGTCCTCCACATCCTCATCTACCTCATAATCACCATCTGCGGAATTAGCATCATCATAACCAGATTCATCACCACGAGATTCATCATAACCACCATCATCAGAACCAGCTTCATCAGAGTCATTTAAATACTCTTCCTAAAAAACTGGATCAGATTTCAGTTTCTTCTTCCCTCTACTAGCTACTTTCTTTTTAGGCGCCTCCTCATTCACGGCTTTCGACCGCGCCTACACATACACATATATTTGCCAGAAAAAATCAACTGCAACACACAACCATCACTAAGCAAACACACAATCTTTTAATTTCAACAAACAATAACTCACCAATCCTGATCCCTTGCTCTTCTTTGGCTTTATTTCCTCTTGCCAAGTTCAAATGAACGCTCAATAAATGGGATTTCCCAACTACATAATACCATTTCAACAAACCCTTAACTCTTCACATATAATTACTCCATTATATTCACATATACATACCACAACAGTCATAATTTCTTAATATAACAATATCACTTATTCATAATTCAATACGTCTACCACCACAAAAACTCAAAATTAATCACTCATTTACATGGATTCAAATTAAATTAAGTACTTTAATTCAACACTCCTACCACCACCACACCCAAAACAATTTCGCTTGTTCATTACAATTAAACAACAAAGGGTCGCAAATTTCAGTGGCTAACAAAGCATTACATAATCTAAATCATCATAACAACAAATTCATTCCAATTACGGGTTTCACAACCTCAAATTAATTCCAATTATAAACATGAACAACAAAGGAAACCCTAATTCGCTAATTTCACCGGATAACCGTAAATCACATAAAGAAAAACATCATAACAACAAATTCATTCCAATTAAGGGTTTTAGAACCACGCCCACTAAAATTATTCCCAATTAAACAAATGAACAACACAGGAAACCCTAAATCGCTAAATTCACTAGAAAACCCTAGATTACATAAACTAAAACTTCATAACAACAAACAAAAGTCACAAATACAACATTTACACATAAATTCATAATCCGAGAAGTGTTTTGCGCCCATACCTTCAATCAAACGATGAACCTAGTAGCAGCTACCTACAATTTACACACCAACTACACCGCAGTAAACTTCTGCTCTTGCTGTGGCGATAATCACCGTCCTAGCGTCTTCGTTGGAACAGAGTACAGGACCTTCAGGGAGGAGAGAGAGTGGAGAGAAAACAAGAAACAGAGGAGAGAGAATAAGCTTTAAAGGTAATGAAATTGGTTTTCGAAAAATAACTGGATACCAAAACACAGCCAGCCTTCCACTCCACTTTTTTATTTTAATGCCTGGTAAATGACGCTTATGCCCTCCTATACACTTGATATGCCCATAGCTGCTATGCGCTGATATGGCCTCAAAATCGAAAAGAGTTAATGCACGAGAGGTAACTCCAGTTAACCATGGTTAACTCACTTTTGAGTAACGTCGTTTGTAGGAAGTTAAAGGGAAAGATTCCCGATACATAGTAAATTACAAGGATACACCTTTTTCGCTACACAATTTGACGAAATTGACCCTTGATAAACGACTCAGGTTTATCTGCGAGATGAACCTGGGCGTGCTCCACTTGCATATACACACAATTTTAACCAAGAAAAAGGCTCCAAGCCAAATAGGATTGAGTACCTAAGGTTTGCCAGAACTCAGCCATAACATCTAATAGAGATGGTACTCCTCAGCTCTGTAGAACTTTTTCGCGCGCAAAATCTCAAGTTACGATCTTCCTGTTCAGAAATCTTTTGCTGACAATCCCTTGATTCAATTGCAGCTTGCTCTTGCTGAGGTGCATAGATGTATATTCCTGATCTGTACTGCATCCCTACATCATTCTCCTAAAACCAATTAGTTCTTCTGTAACTTCTGAAATAACATATGTTAGTCTAAGCAAAGCCATCCCCCTTTCTTCCATAACAACGTAGAAATGCTTCTGTTCACAAATTATCCAGCTAAAAACACTGTGATTTCTACTTCATGCATAAAAAGATGAAGTCACAAGAATGAGCAACAAGGCAATCTGATGGTGAGAATTGCTCCTTCGCTCTACATGCTGAACTTTCAAATCCATCGTGCTAATCATAATAACTAAGTAGGAACAACAATGAGCAAGCAAAACACAGTATTTTCCTAGCATGTTTCATTTCATTCAACTCCAGACACTTCATTGAAGGTAACTTGGTCTTATTTGATTTCCATGTCCCTTATGGTTTATTTGATTACATTATTACACTCTTATAGCAACGTACATCTACATTATCACTTCAAATGGCAGGATTGATCGTGAGAGCCAACTGCGATGACTGTCCATGACAAGCCGGAGCTTGCCAATTAGTATGCTTTAAATTTGCTATAGTTTTGTACGTTGTTCATTTGTTCTAGTTTAGTAACCTTAAATTCTACGAGTAAAACAATAATTATAGGTAAGTGAAACTCAAAACATTTATCCCTTGCCAAAGATTTTCAAGAGGGTTCAGCAAATCAGACACCTCTTTGTAATACCTTGCTTCTCTTATTTTTCATTTTTCCTCTTCATATTTTAAATCTCAATAGAAGCAATTAAAACCCATGTATTAGTGTGGAAACAGTTAGCTACACGCCTACACTGGTGAAAATTACAGTTGAATGGAGTTAAATACATTCCTAACAAAAAAGAGAATTTGTTTTAAAAGCAGAGACATGAAATCTCAAACTTGAACCGATATTCAGTGTCCACTTCATCTACTTCCTTCATGAACTCATCCATGAAACCAGAGCACCAACCAGAGCCAATAACAACAGTCGTACATGCAAAATTCGAAGTGGAAACAGCAAAGAAAATGTACTTCAGATCAGCAGTTCTTGATTTATAGCTTGAATCTACAAGGACAAGAGATAAAGAAGAAAAATTCAGAAAAAGATTTTACCATCACAGACACAGATAGAAATGGCCAAATTGGGAACCTAGGTTGCTATTTGAATATTAACTACAGCGTTTAAAAAAATAAAATAAAAAAATAAAAAAAATTGTATACTGTATAATGGATCAATTGTTAAAAAGAAGAGGGCTTTGGGGGAGCATATTAGGAAGCAGTAAGGGTATTATTTGTCCTTTCTCAAAACAAAGGAAAATAAAGATCGTGTTAATGACCAAGGGCACCTGATTCAATTATAGCCCCCTCAACTCAAAATATCTCATTCTATTTTCTGCACTTCGTTGGATAGAGGAAGTCTCCATATCTTCTTTTTTTTTTTTTTTGTTCTTTTTTACTAATTTGGGTATGCAAATGTAAGAGAATCCTTCAAGCTTTGAATATATATTACGCAGGGAAACAGAACACAGTTCAAACATCAGATGAACAGTATAAGTGTTGAGTTGTGCTTACAGAGTTACATATGAAATCCCAAACAGTCGGAAACTAGCACAGAAAGCAGCATTGCTTGATGGTATATACTTCAGTGTACAGCCTAAAAACAGAACTTTTTTTCTTCAGTTGGTATACTACAAAAAAATTTCTGGCAAAACAAGGAGCCACAGTTAGAGAATAAACTGAAGGCCATAAGATTACAATCAATAATACCACTCTAGAGTTGATGCTTGTTAGAGAATCAGAATTAAATGTACAATTGTACACAGACTAGAGCATTTTTTCTGCAGCACTTGTCTAAGACAAGCTACAGCAAGGATATGGGTATTTTCATACCTGACACTTGAGCTTCCAAAAATCCAAAGTATGGAATGCACCACAACTTCCACAAGTAAAGACCTCAAATACAGTAAGAGCACATAGAAGACTAGAAGAGGGGAGGACCCATCAAACTTGAATGAAGCACATCTACTATCTTTGCAACAACAGAAAGGAAATCTCTCTTTCACTAAATCCCTCCTCTGGAGTTTCGGATTTAGGGGAGTAGGAGCTTGCCATAATACAGTATTTAAAATGTGGACCAGAAAGCCTACATGATGAGTTTGGGTGAGGAAACTTTGAGAGATGGGAAGAGAATATGAAGGATCTATTTCCATTGTTCAAGTATGAAATGGGAAAAGGAAAAGAAAGGAATTGGAGGGATTCATTTTCCTTGAATAGTAATTAGTTTCTCGATAATGGTAAATTTTGGAAGTAAAATGCAAGTCAACTCCTTCCCTTTCCTCTCCTTCCACCTTTTGTTTTTGGAGGATTCCCCTCCTTCCACCTGATATTGCAAAACAAGCCCACTCTGAAGATAAGGAATCGACATCAAAAGATTCATTTTTTAAGATTATTGACCAAACCAAGTTATTTTAGTAGACTCTGTGCTTAGGGGGGGTGGGGTCCAGGAGATAGGTAATTGAGCTTAATGTCTGAAAATGAGTTTCGTGTTTTTACATTTTAGATTATTCTGATATAAACCATAATACAGAATTTATGATGCCATGTGTCCGCATCTTCACACTCACATTTTCAACAGGTAGGCCATGGCAAGGCAGAGACTTGGATACAATTACCTTTATGCAATAATTATACACTTCCATTAGTAGCCTATATAGTTGCTACAGAAGGTAAAGCTAAACAGTACCAAAGCAAGACCACACAACTCTGTGTTGAGCTGAATTGTTAAGTAAACACAAAGTCCTTCATATTACCTAAAAATCCTAAAATCCCAAATATTAATAATTAAAAAAAATTAAAAAAAAAAAAAGAAAAGAAAATTAGCACAACCCAGCTATACAAAAATGCTGTAATTCGGAAAATTGGAATTACTTTTAAGGAACCTTGGTGAAACTATGAACATCTCTAGTCTCTTGATGATCTAAGCATAAAAATTCAAGTTAAAACAATCAAGGCACCTAACTTAGTAACTTCACTCTAAAACTAAGGCAGATTACAGATATTGAAAGAATAACCTTACAAGGTATGCACTCACATATTCAGCTGCAACATATTGTTATGGACTGGGTCAATGGGGTCAATAGGCCAAGTCAACCACCCCTTTTGGTGTACATGAGGCGTACAAAAAGGGGGCCGCAGGGCTCAAAGGCTTGAAGAAACAATTTGCAACAAGACAAAGTTAATTAAAGAGAAGTTAGGGAAGGAAAGCAAGCTACTTCAATAATGTTCCTTGGTGCTTTTTCTATTTTAGCTACTTTTGTCACATGTATTCTCTAAAGCTTTGAGTATAAGTATGTTAGTCAATTCCTTAGTAAAATAATCCAGAAATTAGAGTGAAACACATGGTGAGATTTGTAGCCTAAAGCTACTAGATGATTCATAACCTCAAGTTATGCTTATGCATGTAATCTGTAATTCGAATTCTCAATCAATCAAAAGTAAATTGTGTGTAATTAGTATAATTTAGCAGTGCAAAATCTGATACATAACACATATGTTCAAGAACCAAGACGAAACATAAACAAGACAAATGGATGATGTAAGCTCCCTTAGTGATTACGGAGTACCTGTCAAATACTGAATGCACTTTGTGATTATGCTGATTAGAGTCCAAAAGCTTTGAGACTTGGAGTAATAATAGCTGAAAATCTGAATCAGTTTCTCAGCATGCACAAGAGAGCTGTGCTAATGAGCAGGGAAACTTATTTCACATAAATCGTCTTCTTCAACCCCTGCCACACATCAAGGCCTCTAGGATGTTTATTTACATACTTCTTCACAAAAAATGAGTCCGTGCATCCAATTATGGTACTCAAACTCAATGTACCGCAAACAGCATTTTGATTGACAAGCCAATTGTACATAGAGAATCTAAGCTTTACCCTTTCCATTGTATAGGCAATGAACCCTGGGAATGGTTTCAAACTTGACACTGGATAGCCTAAATCATTAACGAGATATCTAATCTTTGTCTCTATAACTTCCTTTGATTGATTGAGAATCTGTGGTGCCGCTTTTGTCATCTGTGCAACATCCTCTTCACTGAGCCCTGCTTTGACAAGACAGTCAAATCTTTCACAGAGTTCCTCTCCTTTGCCCCGGAATAGCTTTAGTGCCTTTTCCATTTCTTTTGAATGTTCTGTGAAGCCAATGCTTGATAAGAATTTAATCCTCTCCTTGCGAGGACACATTCTAGTCTCAGGCAATCGCTTAATTTTTGCTCTCAAAACCCAATTCTTTAGCACCAACGGATTTTCTATAATGATTTCGCACAAGCGCTTCTTTCCTATGTTCAAATTACAAATTAAACTGTTTGCTTTCTTCACTGAGCATGAACCCAGCAACATGAAATGTGTTTGAACAATATTTTCAATATTCAGAGCATCCATCTATTCACAAAATAACTTAAAAGCACGTCCAAGATTCTGAACAAATTTTCCAACTTTGATTTGTGGAAAGTGAATAAACAGTGAGCATATGTCATTCTTCGTGCATCCAAATTTTATCAAAAACCCAATCAATGAAAAGGTCATTTGACCTGAATGATCAAATAAAAGTTCTGGATGTCGCCTCAACAAATTCCCCAATTCCTTGTTTTCACAGCCTATATCATTTAGCATATGTAGCAACTCAAAGACTTGTCTCCAATTGTAGGAAGCATTCTCCAATAAATGTTGCTCAACCCATTCATATGCAAAACCAAGGCACTGCAACTTTACTACCACCTCAAAAAACTCTTTTCCCCCACCATCAATCAAAAGACAAGGGTTAAAGACAACAGCCTTAGCTATAACAGGTTTACTTAACCCAAGCTCCTCAAATTCTTGTAGCTTCGATATCAAAACCCCACTACCATATCGAAACACCTCTCTTGCCCATCTATATATCCTTCCTATATTAAAGCGATTAACCCCATATTCACACAAAACATAGTAGTTATCAAACAAACCTTCCTCATCACTCAAAAACATCAAATCACGCGGAAGTTGAGGAACAAACTCAGAAGGTTCCAACCCTATACTTTCGAAGAACGGTTCGAATTCATTAATAGGATGGTAACGCAAAAAACGAGCCACAAAGCGCCCGATATCAGGCTCATTCTTGACATTTTCTACCAGCTTCCTCAAAAATTGAGGGGAATTTTTGCTCATATGCTCAGCATCCAAAAAGGGTAAGTTTCTAGTAGAATGCAAATAATCTAACAATGCACCTTGAGCCTCCTTCTTAGTATTTTTAGAAATTCTACGAACTTTATCACCACTATTGGAAGTTGAACTCCCTTGAATACCTTCATTTTGCTCAAAATTAACATTCATAGTACTAATTAAACTAGAATAATGCTGTACATCACTATAATTACAATAACATGGGAAATTGCTTGGAAAAATAGGGTATTTTGATGGTAATTTAAAGGGGTTTGGGGAAAAATCAGAAGAAACCCATCTGAGAATAGGATATAATCTAAGTTTACGATAATTGGTCATCGTTAATTTGTATTACAGTGTTTCAGAAAAAACAAGCAATTAGAATAAGGAGCTCGAAGAAGACATCAATGGCGGATGTTTTTACCTGAATTTGAAGTGCAGGAGATAACAACCAAAAACAGGATGCAAAAGAGGAGGAGAAAGCGGCGATGGCAGAGGTGTCGGAGTAGGAGAAAGCAGCTACGCCGGTGGAGGAGAGTGGTAGTCAACAGCGATAGGGGCATAAGGCTGGAGACGTGGAGGGGTTGCGCTGGTAAAAACTAGAAATGTTTTTTTAGTTTATTTTAGTTTTTTTTTACTTTGTTTTATTACTAGTACAATTTACCCCATTTTTTTCTTTTTAAAAATTGATTTTCTTGTCAAAATTTTTTACAAAAAATAATAAAAATTCATGGCTTGAGCAATGAGGAAAAGATTGGGAGAGTGAGGATCAATTGAGAGAATTGAAGAAAAATAGAGTGGTAAACTTCTTATATGACAATTTCTATGTTTTATCAACGTAAGGGTATGTTTATTGTAAGTCTTGAGCAAAAATTTTGCTCAAGATTCTTGCAATAAAGTCATCAAAGACGTATAAGAATTTTGCATGTAGTTTTGAAAATTAAATCTCATGTCAAAACCTTTGTTTGTGGAACAATTGATGACATTTTTTGTTGGTTGACATTGGAGATTTGTCACCTCACCAACCAAAATTGAATGACAATATTAACCCAACGATTACCTCCTATTTTGCATGTTTTTTATTTTATTGTCAGTACATGTAAAAATTCTATGTAGATAGAGAGATTTTTTTTTATTTAATTGTTAGTACATCAAAGTAAAAAACTCTAGGTTTCAAAAAAAAAAAAAAAAACTCTATGTAGATAGAGAGGTTTAACATAGTACATGAAAGAAATAAAATTCAGTAAAATAAACAACTAGCAGTCATAATTTGACCACAAGATTGACTATAACAAATAGTACTGGGAGATTTTTTTTAAGTAGTAGTCATAATTATCCTAAAGAAGATCAATCTACAATAACGCAGGGAATCTCAGTGCTTTAAGTGTCAAATAGTTCATTAGCAAAAAGAAATAAAAGAGTCTTCTCTCAAATTGCGTCCTTCTTCTGGTTCTGAGGCCATGAGCCAAATAGTAGTTAATTGTTCTCAGCATGATGAACGATAACCAACCAATCCCATCAAAGAAGATCAGCAACATCTCTTATTATATTTTCCAGTTCTGCTGTTCATGATCCGTTTAAGCTACAATATTGTCAAGCATATATTTGAAGGCTTGAGCATTCGCTTCTAGCTCTAGAAACTGAATCTTCCTTTCCTAGGTTGTGAGCTTGTGAGGAGATGATCTTCTCTTAAATCAAGTAAGTTGGCAAAAATAGCACCAATACTTTCAAATTTTATGGAGAAGCCAATCTGCCAAATCCCTTGATCATTCCTATTTCCTAATAACTCCACCTTCTCACACGTTGATTTTAGAAGATTAATCTTTTAGTTCATCTAAAACTGTGATTAATCTTATCTAAAACTGCCTTCCCCATTAATTTATCCTCCTCAAAACTTACTTTAGACCTTTAATTTCCTTAAAATGATAATTTGTTTATACTCAATCAGATGAATTTTCCAACAATTTTTCCCGTTTTGGTGAAATTAGGGTTTACCTATGTTCTTTATTATGGAGAGTTCTTCCTCCATTTATAGTTGGAAGTTGGTTGTTCATACACCTTTTCTCTTTTGGACACATGGTGTTTAAGCCCCACTCAAGTTCTCTCCAACACATTTTGACCTTCTTCCTCACTTCTAATCTTACACTAAAATAGTTTCTTTCTATTAGCAATTCTTTATGCTTAATTTGTTTGAATGATTTATGTGTGTCAATGGATTGTTAATGGTGTTGATTCTAATACTTTGTAGCTTTTATCCTACGTACTACGTATATAAATCTCACTAATATCCAGTTTCCATTTGTTTTCTTTGTCTCTTGTTGACAACATGAAAAATGTGCATCTTTTCTACTCTATGTAATTTTTCTTTTGTCTATATTATACATTCTAACCCCATCATCCCCTTTTGGATATTAATTGATTACATGTCATTCCCTAATGATATCATGATAATCTACATGACTGTCATTAGTTTAACCTTTACTGCACCTGCAATTATTCTTCATCCAAATTCAGTTATAGCCACATAATCTCCATTTGCATGATGTTAATAAATTGTCTCTCTTTGTTTTATGATATCAGGAGTTCATTTCTAACATGATTAAGTGTCAAAGTGTCATCAGTTTAACCTTTACTATAATCTGTAATATATGCTTTGGTTTCAATGATTTGATGATAAATTGTTTGTTTGTTTGTAATTAATATTGCCATTATCTGATTTTCCCACCAATCCCTATCTGCCATTTGCATTCTTAGCATCTTTGCACCTATCTGCCATGACCCCCACCTTTGTACTAGATTTATGTTCTGCCACCATCCCACAACAATTTATCAGAGCCTCAGAGGTAAGAATTTTTTTTTTTTTTTTTTTTTTTTTTTTTTTTTGGAGAAATGGAGAGCATTAAATTAATCAAAAGAAATAAATAATAATTATTGCAATATATAGTCTGTTCTAATTAAGAGAAAAATAAAACAAGAAATTGCCCCTTTTATAATGCTTTCACTAGTACACTCAATTGTTGGACCACAAATTCACAAACATGGAGCATCTTCAACACTATGCTAGATTGCAAAATCCAATATATAAAAAAAAATTCTTTTAACTCTTCCCCTAGACGTCTAACTAATAATAGTACAAGATACATTATAATCTAGGATTCTAACCTATAAGGAAAGCCCTCAAAACTCCCCACTATATTCTCTAAATTGCAATTATCACCGATGCTTCAATTAGCAAAAGGCATTTATACTCAGATTGAATCAAAATTATAACTTACTGCCTATAGATACAGAAGCGAACATACTGAAGAAGTCAAGAAGAGCAGATGATAGATGCAGAAATCCTCAATCCGGCTCAAGCATATACCAGACTGTAGAGAAAGCACGGAGATGTTCAAAGCTTGAATACCACACTGCAGCTGTATTTGATCATTGTTTCCCCATGTAATATGGGTAGCCCTGCATGCCAACGGGCATAGAAGGTGGCATTCCATATGTGTCTTTCATGGGTGGTGGTGCATAAGAAATCTGGGATGGTGGTGGTCCTTGAGGATATGGCCCTGGTGCCATTGCAGGTGGAGGTGCAGCTGCTGCTGGAGGACTAGCGTAAGAGACCGGTGGGTATGATGGCATGTGTGGAGGGTAACTGTATCCAAGTGGTGCCTGTGGTTTCCCATGCTGTGGGTATCCACCTGCTGTAGGAGGGACCATAGGAGCTGCTGACGAGGGATATTGGTTTGCAGTTGTTTTGTTCTTTGTATCAGCATACTTCACTGTAATGTTCCGGCCCTGCATATAGCACAGAATATCATATTGATTTCTAGCAAGAGAGAATTCAACATTGAATGAAGCACAATAGGGTTTGATGCTGCTCAAGTCAAATACATATCAACTAACATCACCAATTACTGCAATAATATTCTAATTAACAAAGGCAATTAATGATTCAATGAAGTAATGATGGAGTTCTCAACGAGCAATGAGTAATTCTTGGGCGAGACAGTCTCACAATAACTTATTGTAACAAGTCATGTCGCACCGAGAAACAGATAAAGCCCCCTACGTCTCATTATACAAGTTTTTGCCAAAAGCAAATTACAGTTGATTGCCACTGATTCTCTCTAAAGTGCCAATAAGTAATAACTATACACAACACTTGTCAGTTGAAAAAAACACTGGAGACCATGGGGTTAAAAATTTCATATACCAAAATAAATCAACACAACACAATAGCTTCTTCAGGAAACAGAACCCAAAGAGAAGGAAAAGTAATTTTGTATTGCAGTGATAATAGTAAGGTGCCACTTTTCTTGACAATAGTTCGGTGAGACATATGCAAGCTAATTCCTACATCCTTTCTTTCCAGTGAGCAATTCAACAACAAAGAAGTACAAATTTCTATTCCTGTAAAAGTTCAGGTTCCATGCAACAATACTATATTAAGAACATGGTTGCACAAAATTAAAGGAACAAACAGAAAGAGAAGGGCTTGGTCACTGTTGAGGCTGCTGAGCTAAAAGCTAAATAAATCTAATTTGACATTATCTTATATCCAAGAATGAGAAGGTGTTCAAAGGGCAAGTCCAGAATAATGTAAAAAAGCCTTCAGCTTAGAAAAACAAGTGGAATGCTCATGCATTTATGCTACTACAGCCCTGCAGGTTTCAGCTAATAACACCTCACTGGATAATCGTGCATTTAGATTTTAGAGCATAGAAGCAAACATAGAAAGACATGAAACTTTTAGATATCAATTACCCCTAGAGTTCTCTCAGGGTCATCAAAGGCCTTCTTCGCAGAATCAACTGTCTTGTATGTCACAAACCCAAAACCACTACAGAAGAAAAAAAAAATGATTAGAGACATAAGAAACTGAAGCCTGCACAAAAGTAGCTAAGAACAAAAATTTTAGATGAAGAATACCGAGACTTGTTTGTATCTTTGTCATACGCAACTGAACCTTCATCTATCTCACCATGCCTGCTGAAAAAACTAAGCAACATCTCGGTAGTGGTTTCTGGTGACAAACCTCCTATATAAAGTTTCCGCTGTGCTTGATCAGGTGCGGTGCTAGCACTGCTTAAGCCTTCACAAGCAAGGTTGCAGACAGTCAAGCGACCCTGCAGTAATGACAAGCAGGAGAGCAAATGAGAGACTGAAAACATACAAATATATATCATCTCCAGTCTCCACATGACACAACTTTTAAGAAATTAGCAAAATTGGACTTTTTTGTTAAGTCTTATGTTTCAAACAAAGTAACCATCTCCCAACCAAATGAATGAATCCTTGAGGCGCTTGAAGTAATTTTGATAATCTTTACATGCCAGTGGAAAATACAACTGTGGCAAGATTATATGCTATGTAGTCTTAATACAATTATTTTATATTTTTTTTAATATGGTCAAGTAAAAGACTCTTGAAGAGCAGGACCTATGGCAGAAGCAATCCAGCTTTGAAAATGGTAAGGGAAATCCTCAATACATGATACATGATACATAATATTTCTTCCATTCTTAAAAAGCAAAAAATATTTTTCACAGGCTCCTATGCGAACTTTGGCCATTAAATACTTTACTTACGTATAATTTAAAATTACATATGAAATAATTGATATTAGAAAATACACATTGAAAAAAATCTAAAAAACTCTCACATAAATTAGAAAAAGTATTACATTTGTAACAATATACAATCAGAGTCTGTAAAGTTTGGCCACCAAAAAAATATATTGCAATAGAAAATGGAATGGAGAAAGCATATGTTATATCTCAGAACTTGAAAACAATTCCCTGAAGGTGGGTCTTTCAAAGTTCCAATAGATGTTTATATAAAAGCAGCTAAGACAATGTATTCCAATACAAACCATCAAAAGAATATTACCAGAACTCCAACAACACCAAACACATTATCAGCCAAGAAAGTAATCTATGAAGGTTGTTGCAAGAATTTATAATAGACCCCCTATTATTCACACATACTTGAAGAGGAAGCCAGCAACAATCAATAACTAACCACAAGTGGCAAGTAATTGATTCAGTTGTTAGGTGGTTACCGCAAATTAAGGGGATTCTGTAATGGACTTATGATGAAGAGTAAGCGGAATTGCGGCAAGGAGTAGGAGTATAAATAGGGGAAGGCTTGTAATAATAAGGGAGTATATTGGAGAAAGTATTGAGTGAAAACACAACCTGGAGGAATCACACCCTCGAAGTGCGATGATATTAATGTGTATTGATTAATTTCACTGATTAGATAATACAGTGCAAGCCTACCCTTATAATCTTGTTTTCCGTCTTAATTTCCTAATTAGTGCATTAGTTTCGTTAATTAATCACAAAAAAACCCAAAAACAGAATCTGAGTTGTAGCAGTTGTACTCACATCAATTAGTTTGCTAGATGCCTTTAGAGCATCCTGAGCTGACTCCATATTTTTGTAAGTAATAAAGCCATAACCACGAGATTTGCTAGTTGCTTTGTCAGTGATCACAGCCCCTTCCTCAATATCTCCATGAACTGCAAATGCCTGAAGGGGAGAATTTTGAGCTTAGCTAAACCACAAGCAACAGAACTAAATCAAAGGGAAATTGTACCTAAAAGCATTCATTCAAATGTTTCAATTCACCCAAAACATGTAACTATCACCCATCATGACACGCAAAACTAATCAGCAATCATACAACGCACTCACATCACACAAGGTTTCTGATGTAGTATTCCATGCCAAGCCACGAACAAATAGCTTTCTGTGAACAGGATCAGCACTTGCAAGACTCATAATTTCTCCTGCAACTGGAGAATATTTGGACCCTCTTCACGCCACACATGCAGGCAAACACACATGCACAAAGTCAATTTATTACACACAACTATAAGCATAGATGTTCTACCATCACTGTCACAGACAAATTAATTTTGGATTTGCTTGATCAGACTTATTGACATAGATTCACATTTTATAAAATGATATGCATTAAGAGAATGTATTGAACAAGGAACCTATAGGCTGTTACTAGTGCAATTTGTACCATAAAAAAAAAACTCCTTGATCCATGCTAGAAAATTAATTAAACAAACGGAGGGGGGGGAGTAGCAGTAAATGGATCTAGGAAATAAGGTGGACAATGACATAAATTGAGTCAATTCTCAAGCAGTAACTCAATACAACCAATCCAGGATATCAATCATCCACCTATTCTCTAAAACAATTATATGCATGCCCACCCTTAATATGTTACAAGCCTATACAACCTCATAAAAGCACCTAGATAAGGGATTGAACATTCTAGGCATGCAAACTTGAAAATCCTTCATATGTCTTTGCATTAGCTGATCACATTCCATAATAAGTATCAAATAAAACTAATTAATTCCAGTAATAAAAACCTATGTCAGATTGTCAGGGAGAAACTATGCTTCATAATGTATATCCATTCTATAAAGAGAAAAGATGTATTTTTTGTGTTTATCAAAGCTCACAAAAGAGAAAGATCAAGCCAGTATTCCTCTTATAGTCTCCATTGAGGAGCCAGACTCTTGAATTTTAACTTCCATGGCTGAGCTCGCCCAACAAACGTAATCATATAAATCAATAAACTTTGCGAATCAAAATCATCAGCCATGTCTGCATCTGAGAGTTCTCTACACACACTTGCATAGATCAAAGCACATCAATTGTTCCTATACTACTCCTTAGTATCTCTACCAGGATTTGAAGAAATCTAGAAAACTGATTAATAGCTCAAACTACATAGGCAGTATCAAGCCCGGTGGCTGGTATATAAGCACACATAAAGTTGTAGATAGTTGATGCAAGCAAAAACTGCTTCATTTAAATTTTGTCTCTCCCTTTTACTTTAAAGAGCAGTAATGGGAATTTAAGCTGTAGTGGCTTACAAAAGGAATATTATATAAAACTTTTCAACCACATCGAATCTAAAGCAGATTTACAATATACGTGATTTGTGAGAGCCAATGCACTATGCCCTCTCTATCTCAATATACATCCATCAACAATATCTTCATTGTTCAGGTAAAATCTCTAATTGCGTAAACTTTTCCATTGTTGTCTTTAGATTATCTATCTTCAAGTATAATGATTAATGACCAACAAACATATCATCCATAGTGCAAAGATACGACCACATCACATCGGTTGGGCCATATCGTGAAGGATTTTCAATTGACCTAACCAAAATCATCCAGTTATGTGCATTGTTTTACAAAAATCCACAATCTTGTTTAAATCACACGTTGCAACCCCATATCACCTTGCATTGAACGTCACATCCATGTTTCACTCAGAAGTTGCGAGATTCCCCATGTCTCCCCAAAAATGGCTTTCAGCCTCTCCTAGTCTACACTAGCTATTATAATAGCTTAAAGGTATTATTAAATCCTAGAATACTTTGCAAGTAAATTCGCACAACAACAACGATGACACGATCCGCGATCAGCACATCATTTCCATTTTTAGCGACACCATGACCGTTCCTGCATTGCGACCTAAACCGTGTGTTTGAACCACGATACAATCCAGATATAGCATATTAATAATGAAGTATCCATTGCTAAATATCTAAGTCAATTTAACTTATCAATATTTTACTATATACAGCCACAATTGACTTTATAAGATACAAACATCTAATTAAGATGTAACCAAAATTCATGCCTTGAGATCATATTAACTTCTCGACAACCTACAAAAAACAAATTTCTTGTCTTTTATCTAAAGTCCCTTAATCTACTTCACATAGATTTAATATTCAAGGTCACCCCGAAATATGTTGCCTTCATGTCAAACTAATGAAAATGAAAATTCAAAGTATCAGCTAATTCAATGATAACACAAATTGAAGGCTTCTTCACCAAAAGTGGAAAATACCTTAAAAGTCAATGCCCTCTCTAAGACTTCTTGACCAAAAGTGACAAATACCTTAAAAGTGACAAATAACTCAAATTGGAGGCTTCTTCACCAAAAGTGACAAATACTAGGTTAAGAATTATTCCCTTGAATGCTACTCTACATGCACATAAATTCTTCAAGACTTCCAACCACAATTAACTCTATAAGATGCAAACATTTTAATCCATGTCTTGAGACCATATTAACTTCTCAACAACCTACTAACAAGAAATTTCTTGTCTTTTATCTGAAATCCCTTAATCCACTCCACAAGCAATATTATCACACAAGGGTCCATTCATACCACTTCTTGTGATGCTCATTTAACATAACTTCTTAGCCAACTTTTGCTCACTGCCTCATCTATAATCATAATATTACTACATTTTGCTTGCATGTGATCTTAAATACACAATCAACAACGGTATTGCTACAATGAAATCTTAATTACACTTAAAGCCAAACATATTTCCTATTTATGAAGACAGAGAAGATGGAAAGACAGTTGAGACAAAAGGAACCAAATCATAACAAAAAAGAATGGCATATACTATATTTGGCTCTTGACAGCTAGCCCTACTAACCCATTATAGCTACTGACTTCGAAAAGTTGGGCTTGCACTTCAAAAGCTTAAACATGATCAAGATGAGAGCTTAAAGTGTTACATAACATCCCAACATTACAACGCTCATTAGTTATAGACCAAAACCCGCCATTTAAAGACACTGAATAAACCCACATATGACATACACATAATAAGCCTCAGACCAACTTTAGAGAAATACTACTGGTTAAACCATGAAACACTAAAACCCTAATTATTTTAAAGCTTATAACCTTACACTCTTAAAGGTTATATGTATCAACACATTATATCATGCCCCTTAACATTCAACCTTCACAACCCAAAAAAAACCTATAATACAATTAATCCGCAGGTCACGTTATGGATGTGAGCTAACTTAGTTGGTAAAGGCTTAGGGATAGTACCCAAGCCGCGGAATCAAATTCCACCCACATCAACGTATGTATGGCTCTTTATACAAAAACCAAAACCCAATAACAACAGCTTGAACCTATACAATTCATATTCATTGAAACAAGAAATAACACCAAACAAAACCCATTAAATTATATAAAATTAATAGCATAAATCATTATCTCAAAATAAAAAGAAATTATAAAAAATTAAGTTAAAAGTGTCTTACAACTTAGCAAGGAGATCAACCAACTGGGGTTTAGCAAGCGGTTCAAGCAAAGAACGAAGCTTTTCACCAGAAGCAGGAGAAATTTGACCATTTTCAACATCATCAAGCTTTCTCTTCTTCATGTCCTCCATCTTCTTCGCACGGCAAAGCTCTGCTTGTCTCGCTGAAGTCGGCGGCAGAGCGTGAATTTGGGTATAGAGAAGGAGATTGTAGTTTATTCCAGAGTTTGGCAGAAATTGGCCTTGACACTAATTGATGAAATTGTGTATGTGTAACATCTATCGAAATTATGACCCTTTTTGTTGGGCCTTTTTTGAAATATATATTGGGCTATGAACCAGTTTATGGCTCGACTAAGCGCGGCCGGGCATGACCCACGAAGGTGTGGGCTGCGTCAAGGCTAAGGTTAAGGGGAAGTGGCAATGTGGCATCACATAACGTGGTGTACAACGGGCATGCTCCTTAGCCATATATTGGTTTTAGACACATGAATTATGGGCTCTTATTATGGACTTGTGAAGTCTTTTTTTGGTCTATATTTGGCATGAGTTTTGTAGCTTCTAAGAGAAATTTTATGAAATTATCTTGCTCGAGAATACTTAGCAATTGTGAGATAAAACACACGCACAAAATAGAGAGCTAAGTGAGTGTTTCAAGGGTGCTTCCATTTCAGATTTTTTTCAACACAACTTTCAAAAAATCGCTTGTTTCCGAAAATTCAACCATTGGATCGTGCTCAAATTTAGACAACTTAATTCTGACATCAAGAGCCTGATTTTGGACAATTGGATCGTCTTTTGAGCTCTGATTTGTTCGGAATTGACTCAGGACAGAACTGCTATTTTTGGGTGAATTCTACTCCTTTCACTCTCTAATTTTGATCTCATATTGTTCGTTGTTGTTGATGGGTTGTGAATCCTTTGTAAACTGATTTGGGATTCTTTTTCCCTCAATTTATCAATAAGAGAAGTTAGAGTGGACTCCTTAAACATTCCTGTGATTTCTATCCTTCATGTCAAAGGGGTTTTCCACGTATAATTCTTGTGTGTTGATTGATATCTGTAGACACTTGATTATGTTTCCCCAAAAAACCAAACCCACTGATGAGTACCTTTCACGTCTTTGATTAACGAGTTTGGTAAAGAGTTGAAGAGTCTCGTGAAGTTCCCTTAAGCCTTGACCATATTCCCAATCTTTCCTAAAATGTTTTAAACCAAAATCATTCATTTCGTGTCATTGAACCCAAAATCATTCATTTTGTGTCCCTTAAAAATCATTCATTTCATGTCCAACTCATAAAAACGTCCAAACCATATTATTTTGGTCCATAATACTGGTCCAATTATTTCTTAGTTGGATGGGTCTTGAAAAGATCTTTCCAACGATATATTATAAGCCCAAATTCAATTTAAAACGAATAATTTATGGCCAAAATACTAAATCGAGCCCAAACCGGACCTAGTTCCACCTTACCTACGACCCAATGAACATGTGAGGGTCTAATATCTTATTTCCAATCCTAAACCAATTAGGATTCTTTAGGAACTTCTAGAAGTCTCTAGAAGGTTCTAATTTATCCTTTCCGAAAGATAAAGATCAAAAGAGTTCGAAACTGAATAAAACTTCTCATATGATAGTCCCTATCCCGTCCAAATTAGAAGACGTCCGGATATATTTCCTTAACCCAATTCTATTGGAAATCAAACTCCGTACGACTTTTTTTCTATCTTTAGAAATCATTATCGGACGACAGAACCAACGTGCCGCGTTAGTTCCATTGCGTCGCGATGGACACTAACGCGCCGCGATACGTCAATCGCCCCGCGTTACGAGCTATTTTATTCCGATTCAAAATTTGATATTTTCTGATCGTTTCGACTTTTTTTTTCTCTATAAATAGAGGTCGTTTTCCACGTTTCAGATCATCAAAAATCATCATAAACATCGATAATGAGCTTTGAAAATCCCATCATCATAACTCGGAATTCTTAATTCCAATGCTCTTAGCCTTAGCCTAAACACATCCTTGATATTCTCTCAAATAAGTCACAATACCTCATTCATGAGATTCAAATACTCCAAGCCATCCTCGACGTTGCCTTCGACCTCGGTGTGAAAGGTTGATAGTTCTGAGGGTTTGGTCCCAAATCTATATTTCAATTCATATTTGATTTATTTACTTTATTGATTTAACTTTCTTGAAGTTTACTAATGTGTGTATTGTTTTAATAGCAATAAGGTTGAGGCATCAAAATTAAACCGGTTCAGGATTAACTTGATGTATGTATGTTTGATCGAAAAGTGCACATGAATATCATAAGAATTGAGTAAAGGCCTATTTAGGGCAGGTTCAATCTCTTTTAGGTTAGATTTGTACCATCATCCCCAAACATCCAGTCATGGTTCCAGGTCACTATGGAGTTAGCGATCTCCGTGATCGTGAATGGGGTGTAACCTTCACACCTGTGAATAGTTTACAAGTTCCTAAAACTTGTTGGCGACTCTTTTATCTCTAGCTTATTTTCCTTAGAACGCGGTCATTCCTAAAAGCACGAACCACGATAGGGCTCAATGAGATTTGAAAAATTCCCTACAATATCGTTTCTTCCTAGTATTGTCGGTGTTATTGTTGTTTTGCTACTGCATTGTTGCTAATTTGGTTATATGATTTTAGTGTGTAAGAATTTTGGGTTCATTGGATTGAATTGAATTTTTGGTTGACTGTCTTGTGTGTAACATTGTGGGTGTCATAGTGACCTCCTTCCAATCCCTACAGTTTTTTCTAAGGCCCCATGTATTTCATCGTATATCTTTCATTATCCATCAATATAGATTATATAAAAGTTGATATGTGAATCCTATACATCGAGACAATTCTAACAAGTACTTACATAACTATGTTTAATCTTATGTATAAAAGTATCAATTTTTTGTTAAAGCGGTGTAACATTGTAAAACGTAAAATTAGGGCACTTAAAGCAAAATCGAAGCGAATATTAGAATTTAGAAGTATAGATATGATCAATAGTCAAGTTTACAGTTCTACCCAAAATAGTTGCCATTTTTGTGTTGGGCTTGACTTTTGAGCAATATACAGTTTTGTCTAAACCTACTAAAATCTAGCATGTATGCTAAGGTTGAACTATTTGAGCGTAAATCAAAGGTAGGTTAAATATCACTTTTTAGGACATAAAAACATGTCTACAACCCAAAAAAAATAGGCATAATTTACTACCCAATAACAGGATTTTTCAAGTTAATTGGATGGGCTCAAGTTAAACAAGTCTAAGAATAGTACCGGCGGAGGAAGACGGGGAGTGACTGGATTGGGTATTATTTTATATCTCTATATAATTTATATACTTTACAAAGTATTAAATTTATACTTCAATATTTCAACAATGAGGTACTAGTATTTTTGTATTTTACTTTTTTTTAGTGTAAAGTGGACCACAAAGGGCAGTGATGAAGATGGGTATAATCTCAAGTCTTGAATATCAACCCTAAGACTTTAACCAAATAAGCTACTTGATAGTCTTGACATACATCAGGTACTAGTGTTTGATAATTAAAGGTGATGCATGGGAACATTATGTAAAATGTATAAAAAATTTATATTCATTCAAAATGCAACTTACAAAATTCTCTAACTATTTAAAAGTAAAGATAAATTCATACTACATATATATTATTAAAACTCCTAGGAAAATCATAGCATGCATCGCGCCATGTCAAGCACACATATTAATTAATTTTTGCTTCCTCACATAAATAAGCTAGTTAGCAATGTAAAGTATTAATTCTCACTCCATTACGAGAACTTATGATCTAAAACATTTAATAAGAGAAAATACATTATTATTAATAATCAATTCAATGCTAAATCACATAAACAATTCAACTCAAAAATCCATTTGCATAAAGCAATTCATATCTCAATCAACCAAGTATAACTCAAGATTACTAAACCATGGGCAATAACTCAAAAAAATTCGGACCTATGACCATAGACTAAGGTGTTTTAACACCAACTTTAATGCACACATAATCACACAACTCAAGCTTTAAATAGTTTCAATTCTTTTTGTTTTCGAAAATAATAATAATGTACTTGAATCATGATATTAGACGGTCGAGAACGCGTCTCCCAGGTAAGTTACCTACAGCGTCAAGGATAGCCTTGCCTAGATAGAGAATCATACTCAAGAATTTTTTTCTCAATCATCTTTCCACAAATAGGAAAATAGTTTTTATATATAAAATAAAGCTTTTAACTTTCACACACAAATGCGAAACTCTATCTTATATGCCCTCTTAAGTCTACCCACAATTTTTATTTTTCCCAATTTTAATCTTTTTGCAGATACCACTTTGTAACACCCCCAAATCCCCCTCTACAAAAATACCAGTATAATACGTATAATTATACCATAGAGATAGACTTAGGCGTACTACCGTCGCGTGATTACGCAAGGCTACTCAAAACTACTAACTCAAACCAAAACTTTGGAGTGGAAACTCAAACTATTTCTTTATTAATAACTAATATAGATAGAAACCATTACCATGAGTACTCAATATAGATACAAAGACCAACATTCCTAGATCTAGGTGAAGCATATCCCGGGACTCCCAAATGCTCATTTATTAACTCCACATAAAATAGTCAACACTGCTTACCATTAAGGTAAACAGGGCGAACCAAAACAAATAGGAAATACGGATTATCAAAATATGCTAAGTACGATAAGTGCAAGATAAGTAAACTCAATTTATTTGCAAACATGCTTTTAAAACCAATTCCAATAATTCCAAACTCATTATTCAAAACCAATTCCAATAATTCAATAATTCAATAATTCAATAAAATGATTAATAAAGCCGATTCTTCTTTTAAAACCTAATTTCTCACCTAAGTGTGCACATCCCCCAAGTTAGTGTCTTTATATTGAAAGGTTATTCTTAAGGAAAGACTCGATCATACAAAGTCTCACCAGTAGAAAATTTGAAATAGGCACCCCCCCTTTAGCACCGGTTCTTGAAAACCGGTGCCAAAATAAATGGGCGGGATTGGAAATTTCAGAGTTGGCATTGGTTCCAACCTAAATCGGTGCCAAATCCTTTAATTAGCACCGGTTGAAACCGGTGCCAACCATTAAAAAAAAATACAAAAGAAGGGAATGGAGTTGGCACCAGTTTAGAGCGAACCGGTGGCAATTATTGCAATTAGCTCCGGTTCGAACCGGTACCATTTAAAACAACAAAAAGCCGAGTTTTTTTACATAACTCCTTATTTCTCCTTTAATTCGTTTTTCATTCTCTCTCCTTCAATTCCTTATCTCTCATCTCTCATCTCTGTTCATCTCTCTCCAACCAAGCACAACAACCAACACAACAACCAAGCCGCCGCCGTCAACCACAACAAACATCGCCGCCGCCTAAAATCAAAAATTTGAGGTTAGGGTTTCTGGGTTTTGGGTTTTTCACGATTTTGGCTGGATTTTTCACGATTTCTGGGTTTTTCACGATTCTAGGTTTCTGGGTTTTGTGGGTTGAATCTGTGTGGGTGTATTTGTGCGAAATCGTTCGTTTTTAAGGGGTTTATTTGATCGATTTTTGTTCGATTTTTTGGGTTTATTTGTTCGATTTCTTTTCGATTTTTTGGGGGTTTATTTGTTCTATTTATTTTTTGTTTTTTTGGTTGAATTTATCTGGGTTAATCGTTCATTTTTAAGGGGTTTTTTTGATCGATTTTTGTTCGATTTTTTGGGTTTATTTGTTCTATTGATTTTCGATTTTTTTGGGGTTTATTTGTTCTATTGATTTTCGATTTTTTTAGGGTTTATTTGTTCGATTTTTGTTCGATTTTGTGGGTTTATTTGTTCGATTTTTGTTGAATTTATCTGATTTTATCCTTTTAATTGATGCAGGTTTGAAGTTTCTGATTTTTTAATTTTCGGTTTGAAGGTCGTGAATTTGCTGAGTATGAAGTTCGAAGTTTCTGGGTTGTAAAATAACAAATTCAGCAATTTCTCTGTTTTTCTTTTTAATAAATTGTAAAACAACAATTTATTTAATGATTATAGCCTTGTTCGATTTATTGTTTTGGATTGTATGCTGAAATTGGATTGATGAATAAATTGGATTGATGAATAAATTGTATGCTGAAATATTTTTTTTTTTTTACTGTTTGAAGGCATAATTGGCACCGGTTAACCGGTTCCAATTGTAGTTAAAATTAAAAAAAAAACAGCGCGGCATTTACATTTGGCACCGGTTAACCGTTGCCAAAGCGTGTAGTTAGCACCGGTTAACCGGTGCCAAATGCTTTAGTTGGCACCGGTTTTGAACCGGTGCCAAATTTTTGGGGATTTGACATCCCTCAAATCCCCAACGGTTCAAAACCGGTGCATTAGGGGGGGTTGAACCGGTGCCAAATTACCTTTTTCGTCTAGTGTCTAAAGTCTTATCAACCAAATCCGCATAGTGAGATTACTATAATCATGCTTGTAAAGCTTAAATAATAATAATTCAATAAAACCTCTTTAATTCAATAATTTCAATCTTTATAATAAACAACTCAAAACTCCTTTTTATTTGATTCAACATGCTTTCAAAATCAAACCTTTTAAAAACTCTTTAAATCAATCCAACATATTTTTAAAATCAAATTCCTTTAAACATGATAAATAATTTCAAATCATTCAAAAAAAAAAATATAAAAATCATTCCTTCAAAATTATTTGTTAAAACCCCTAATTAAACATGTTTTATTTCATAAATCATAATTTAATTCAATCATCATAAAAATCATACAAAACATAGCCACCTAAACGTACCTTGATCCTTGCTTAGCAACACACAAAAAGAACTTCAAGAACTCTTGTCAAACACTCCCTACAAATAAATATAACCTTAATCAATATAAGGCTAACAAATAATCACAACAATTAAAATAAAACCCCTAACTAGATGCACATGAACCTTATAAAATTATTTTTCATAAACTTGAATAATAAACTGATTTTATTTAATTAAAAACACTCATAATATTTTTTATAAAACCCCCATAATAATAATACTAATAATAATAATAATATAATTAATTAAGAAAAGAGAAGAAGATGTAGAAAACCAAGGAAGAGAAGAAGAAGAGTGGCGGCAAAGGGGCAGCAGCCGTTCGACACATGGCTGCTAGTGGCCGGAGGTGGCAGCTGGCGTCGGCGACTAGCCGGAGAAGGTGGCAGCCGGCGGTGGAGGTGGTGTTTGGTGGTGGTGGTCGTGCAAAAACTGAGAGAAAGAGAAGAGATTTAGAGAGGAATTAAGAGAGAAATTTATAAAGTTTTGGTGTGAGTGTTTAGCTATGATTGAAGGGGTATTTATAGGCTAGCTCATGCAAGAATTATGGTAGGAAAAATGTAGGAAGAATTATGGTAATTTGGTTTAAGGAATTACTTAGAGAAGAGAGCTAAAGAATTAAGGAAAGTTTAGTTTTATGGTGATTAAGGAATAATTAATTATGGAAAGTATGTTGTCATGAAAAATAATATGACAAATGACTTTTCTTGGGGAATAATCAATAATGGTTTAAGGTAAGGAAATAAGATGCTCAAATATTTGGGAGATGGAAAATAAGAATTAGGGAAAATAATAGAATTAAGGAAGATAATTAAAATACAAAAATTACCAAAATAAATTGCTCAAATATGTCATATGGTGGCCAAAATTTGAGTCTTCCTTAGCTCATATTTTCGGACCTCACTTTCAATATTTAGGCAATTACTTTGCTAGTTTTTAAGGAATAAAAATGATTGTGTAAATAATATATATTGTATAAAATAATTAATTAAGAAAATACTAATTATCCACTAAATAAATTAACTAATAAAATCATATTTTCCACACTAGGAAAATCCGAAATTCATAGTTAACTAATTAGGACTTTTCGGCCCTCTTGATTAAATAATAAAATATAATTTTGCTTAATTAAAATATTCGAAATATATATAATATATATATTATATAATCCGGTTTTTAAATAAAATAATTAATAATAAATCTTATCCAAAATCCAAAAATAATACTTAAGTTTTTAAAATGCTTTTGGCGCCAAAATTCAAATATCATTTTGAGTCCAAAATTCAAATAGTAAAATAAATTACTAAATACCCTTTTTTAAGAAAATAATTAATAATTAATTAGAAATGCGTTTCAAAAATATGGGGTGTTACAAGAGGTAGTAGTAAAGACCAAAACTCAAATGTTTGTTTTTTTTGTTTCACATTCTTGCAGAACAAGCTATGTATATTGCTTAGTGCTTGTTCGAGTTTGGGCTGAGAGGGGAAGGTATCGAGCTGGTTCGAGTTGAGAGGTGGTGGTTTTAGGGTTGTTTTGGGGTGGTTCCAACTAAGAGGGTGTGATTTCAGAGGTGATTCAGGCTGAGAAAGAGTGGTTTTACGGTTGTTTGACCTGAGAAGAGGTGGTTTAATGGTTGTTCGGGGGGTGTGTGGGTTGAGAGTGGGTGGTTTCGGGGTGGCTGCTGTTTGGCGGTGTTGGTGGGTTGGGTATTGTCGGTGGTGGTGGTTTAGTATTTAATTACCTTACCTTTCTCTCTCCTACCCTTAATTTACTATTCTTTAATTCATTAATCAACCATTATCAATTTTTGTCTTAAAATCCATGTCGACCTCAAAGTTGCAACTAAGGCCTTGTTTAGTTCACCTTATTTTTACTTATTTCAGAAAAAATAAGTTCAAATCAGAAAAAATAAGTTCAAATCAGATCAGAAAAAATAAGTTCAGATCAGATCAGATCAGAAAAAATAAGTTCAGATCAGATCAGTTAAGAAAAAATAAGTTCAGATCGGATTAGATCAGAAAAAATAAGTTCAGATCAGATCAGATCAGATCAGAAAAAATAAGTTCAGATCAGATCAGAAAAGTTCAGATCAAATACAAATTATTATTATTATTATTATTATTATTATTATTATTATTATTATAATCAAAAACCTACAAAGTCAAACAATTTACAAGAAATTAGTGGGGAGCCGAGATACAATCTGGGCCCCCACCCCTCTAGCTATAGCGAACCCAATCCTGTTGAAGATGTGAGCCGCCGCACGAGCACCAATATCCTGAGTCCTAGCGAACGCCGGAACCCGCTTCAGCAATGCAACAACATCCTTCTCTAATTGCCCCAATGAAGAAAAGGAGAAAGAAAGAAAACCATAGCCAATAGCCCTGCAACGCGCCCCATACTTGTCCCGCTTCCGCTGAGCCGCAGCCGACACGACACGACCAGGAACGAAGTCAGACAACCCAGATTGTGTCAATGGAGAAGACCCCGTCAAGTCAACACAAACATCTAGGCCTCTATCCTAAGAGTAAAGCAACACATCTGCTGGCCGAAGAGCCCCGTCGTCCCCTCCAGACAACCCAACGTTGACCTCCTTTCGTGCAGAAATCCCAGAATGGAAACAAACATCAACAAGGGTATCACGAACAACGTTTTGCCGATGTTTAATACCCACCATCCCAGCACAAGACACTGCATGATCCCCAAAAATATCCCTATCAAAAACCCTTGAGCAAGCAGAACAAGGAGCCGATACGGAGAACAAGGGAACACCCAACCGTTAGCAAAGAACACAACGGTAAGTCTTGCCATTCATAGTCTGACCCAGACCGGATATAGGGACCGCTCGCAACCAGGCAGAAGTATGATCCTCACTACTAGAAATAGGTCGTTTTCCGAGGGAATCGTTCCGACGGAACTAAATTCCATCGAAAAATCCGTATTTTTTGACGGAATTCGGGTCTGTCGGAACATTCCGTCGAAAACGGGTCGTTACGACGGAAAAATCCCTCGGAATTCTTGCGACGGAAATTAATTCCCTCGGAATATTAGGCTTCCGACGGAATTTTCCGTCAGAACGTTAGTTTTCCTATGGAATTTATATCCGTCGGAATTTTCCTGCGGAATAATCCCTCAGAAAACCCATACATTCCGACGGATTTTTTATCCGTCATAACTTTATAATATATAAAAAAAAGCCGGAACTTTGATGAACTTTCTCCTCTGCTCTTTCTCTCTCTTCTCCTTCTCTAACCTCCCTCCTTCTCTTAGATCCGCCTCTCTTTCTCTCTCTTCTCCTTCTCCTTCTCTTTCCTTCATTTCTCTCTCCTTCGCCCTCTCTTTCTCTCTCTTCTCCTTCTCCTTCCTTTGTTTCTCCTTCCTCCTTTGCGCAACCAACGCCAAGCACCACCGTCGCTGTGCAACCACCACACTACCACCGCCTTCTCAAGGTTTTTCATGTCGAATTCGACCATGAAAACCCTTGATCTAGAGTTTTCATGGTCGAATTTGACCTTTAAAACCCAAATTCAAGCTAATTTAGGGGTTTTGATGAAATTTAAGGTAAGTTGTCGAATTTTTTCGATTTTTTTTAATTTCTGGGTTTTTTTGTTTTGAAACTTTCAGGGTTTTTTGGGTCGAATTTGTTCGTTTTTTTTTTAATTTCTGGGTTTTTTGTGGTTCGAATTTCTGGGTTTTTTTGTTTTGAAAATTTTGGGGTTTTTTGGGTCGAATTTGTTCGTTTTTTTTAATTTCTGGCTTTTTTGTGGTTCGAATTTCTGGGTTTTCTTGTTTTGAAATTTTCGGGGTTTTTTGGGTCGAATTTGTGGGATTTTTTGGGTCGAATTTTTTCGCTTTTTTTTTTAATTTCTGGATTTTTTGTGGTTCGAATTTATGGGTTTTCTAGTTTTGAAATTTTCGGGTTTTTTTGGGTTGATTTTTTAGGTTTTTTGGGTCGAATTCGGTGGTGGTTTGGGAGGGTGTGGAATGGCGAGGTGGGTGGTGGGTGGTTTGGATGGTTTGTAGATCTGTGTGGGATGGGTGGGTGGGTGGTGGCGGGGGTAGGGTGTGTGGGTGGGGGTGGGTCTGGTTCTGGGTGGGTCAGGGGTGGGGTGGGGGTGGGTCTGGTTCTGGGTGGGTCAGGGGTGGGGGAGGGTTAGGGGTGGGGTGGGGTGGGTCTGGTTCTAGGTAGGTCAGGGGTGGGGTGGGGGTGTTTAGGACGTGGTGGGTGGTGTGGGCTGGTGGCCAGGGTGGTTCTGGGTGGGGATTGTGGTGGTTTTTTTTTTTATTCACTTTTCCGACGGAATTTACCTCTTCCGACGGAAAATTCCGTCGGAACATTTCCCCACCGACGGAGATTTCCGTCGGAAAATATCCCAGTCCGACGGGAAATTCCGTCGGAACCTTGTGACGGAATTTAACTTAAAGTCAACAAAAGCGCCGACAGAACAAAATCCGTCGGAAATTCCGTCGGAAAGGTCTCTTCCGACGGAATTTCCGACGGAATATCGTAAAATACCTACAAAGGGTCTTCCGACAACGCTTTCCGACGGAATTTCTGGGTTTTCCGACGAATTTTTTCCGTCGTTAATTAACTGTTTTCTAGTAGTGCCTCCTGCTGGGACTTCCATAAGGCAACCTGACGCAGAGATAAGGAGAAAGTGGATTCTGCAGATGCAGTGACCTTCGTGAAATATATATCTGCCAATTTCTTCATGAGTTTGGGGGCAACGATCTCACTAGGGTTACACAAAACGTCAGTCTCCACAGTCCTATTAAAAAGATTAAGAGCGCCGTCGAAGGCCGGACCTGGACCAACAATACTAGAATTGCGAAGAAGCAAAGTCTGAAGACCAGAAGACTGCAAACGCGACGCAAGAAAAACATAGTGTCGAACATCACCCGCTGAATAGACACCCAACCCTCCATAAGAAAAAGGTAAGGTGGCAAGTCGCCATTGCCAATCACCAAAACCTAGCCCCGAAGCAGTTACAACGCGCTCCAAAGAACCTCGAAGGGCCACATCAAAAGAAATCTGGGCCGCTTCAAAAAGACGAGGAGGACAAGTGCGCATAGAAAAGTAGAGTTTTGAAACTCCAGTACACGCACGAAGTAGTAACAACTCACACTGGGGATCCTCAAGCTTAACAACAGCATCCATGAGCACAATGGTCTTCGACACTCTCTGCGAAACAAGCTCACCACAGAAAGAGGCATCCGCACTGACAGGACCACCAAGCAACTTAACCCCATGAGCAGGACGAGCAATATCTGGAGAAAAGACACCGGCCAGCCGACTACGAGGGTCCTCCGAGGGCCAGAAAACTTCCGTTTTCGCAACGTTAACATGGAGGCCGAGACGAGGTCCCTCCACCAAAATCAACTCCATAACCTTCCCTACCACCAAGGTGTCACCAATAATAGTGTCATCATCCAAATACCAAGCCTGCAAACATAAGTCAAAAGAATCCCTAATACGACAAACCAACGGATGGAGCACCAAAGCAAAAAGCAAAGGGCCAAACGATAAACGATAATAATTAAATTTTCATTATAAACGATAATAATTAAAATTTCATTATAATCCCTAATAAGAAATTATTATTATTATTATTATTATTATTATTATTATTATAAAAATTATTATTATTATTATTATTATAAAAATTATTATTATTATTATTATTATTATTATGGTTATTATTATTATTATGGTTATTATTATTATTATTATTATTATTATTATTATTATTATTAATAATAAATAGCACAAACGATAAAGAAATCATAATATGCTCTTGGTTCGATTTCTATACCACTATCAATGGGTATATCCAACTCATGTAATCGAATAAAATTGTGAAGTTTGAATGTAGCAACCATAATTGCCAATTGATGTTTAGTGTCCATATTTGGCATCATTGTCAATATTTTCTATCGAGATTTTAATTGTCCAAAACATCTCTCGATCGTTGTTCGAAGTGAAGAGTGAAGATAATTAAAAAGTTCAAGTATGCAAATTTTCACGGGAAGTAATAAGCAAAAATAAGTAGTAAAGTACATTGGAAAGATAAATTTACATTGGATATGAAAAAAAGTAGACGGAGGGAAATAACAAATGGGATGAACATTTTGAGACTAAAATTTAGCCAAAAAGGACTATCAATAAGGGACGGAGGGAAAACATAATACTTTGCTTTTTTCTAGAAACACCCTCTTCAGATCAAAACAATAGCACTTGATCAAGTGGTTTTAACAAAAATATTTGAATATCTTCTTACAAAATATTACTTTTTTTCCTACCAAAAAAAAAGAAAAAAGCAATAATAAACAAGCCTAACGTTTCCTATACAAAAAAATGAATATCTTCGTACAACATATTATGTATATTTTAATGTTTTTTAATTTCATATTTTTGATAACAAGCCTAACGTTTCCCATAAATAATTTTTTTAAAATTCCATTTTTTCTTTCCTCCTATTTTGTCAAATACTTTTGCTTTATACAATTTTTTATTCTTCCACTTACCCCATCCATATATTATTACGTTTACCAATTTCTCCTAAAACTCCCTACATGTAAAAATGGAGAAGGTATTTAAAATTGAAGGGAGTATACGTACAAGGTTTTCAATAATAATAGCTACGCATTACTACAATTAAAATTAGTACAAAGTAACATAGAAAATGTTGCTAGTTCAAACAAACGATAAAATCAAATCCGATACATCATAAATCCATATTATTATTTAAGAATTAAGGTATTTAAAAACAAGTCAAATCTCCTTTTTTCTATGTAGAAAAAAGCTATGATAAATTTAATCTGTAATTTAGTTTTTTTAGGATCCCCATTTTAATACTTTCTTATAAAAAAAATTCATTTATTCCAATTCTATTATCTTATACTATCTAGTAATTTTAATACTTATAGGTTTCTTTAAAATATCTGTAATAATAATAATAATAATAATAATAATAGTAATAATAGTAATAATAATAATAATAATAATAATAATAATAGTAATAATAATCATAACAATAATAATTAAACATTAATATTGATTAACATTAAAAGTAGAATATTGAAATAATTAAAATAAGTTCAAATCAGAAAAAATAAGTTCAAATTAGATCAGATGAGAAAAAATAAGTTCAGATTAGATCAGATCAGAAAAAATAAGTTCAGATCAGAAAAAATAAATTCAGATTAAATCAGATCAGAAAAAATAAGTTCAGAGCAGATCAGATCAGAAAAAATAAGTTCAGATCAGATCAGATCAGAAAATATAGGTTCAGATCAGATCAGAAAATATAAGTTCAGATCAGATCAGATCAGAGGCCTAACTTGAAATGGAGGTAGTATATTGTTTAGAAATACCATAGAAGACAAAGCTGTGGCAGCCAAAAGGGTAGCAAAAAAAAAAAAAATCGAATATTGACTTCCTTGATAACTTCCGGCTGGAGGGCAAGGCTTGTCAACTTTACAATGATGCCGTAAAAGCAGAATGTCGGAAGAATGTAAGAAAAACCTCTGTTTTTTGTTTTTTTGGTTTTCGTTTTGTTTTAAGCATCAATTTGTTAATGAGTTTCATTCTTATATTAATATTCATCAAAGACTGGGAAGTCCAATGGTAGGCACTATGTTGTGGACCTCAAAACTGCTGAAGTAAGTAATTTTTTGCAAAACACAACTTCATCCAACTTTCTATTTAGTTTAAGATGAGATCCAAAATGGAATGTTGTTCTTATGTTTGTTTGTTTTCTTTCAGGATAGATATATGTATCTTGCTGAGGCCACAGTAAAGGAGCTGGAGGAACGTGTTGAGGGTGTGAAAAAGTTGAAGGCGTGGTTCTAGACTACATTAGACAAACAATGTAATGAACTGTAACTGTTTTTTTTTTTTTTTTTTTTTTTTTTTTTCAAAGTTTATGGCAAACTATGACATAATTGTTATCCTTGGGTCTTAAAACCCTCTTTTGCTCTAGTTTGAAAGTTAGAAAAGGTAATTCTATCTTTTATGATTTCTGAAGACATGTAGGGTTTGATTAATAATGGGATTTGCTAATGATTTTGCTTAATGAGTATGTATCTTTTTGGTTTCAAACATTAGATTGCCATTACTTGTAAACATACTGACAACGATTCTCAAACATTAGATTGCCATTTCATATATTTGTGGATAAACATACTAACAATGATTCCCTAACTCGATAAATTTAATGTTTACTTCTTCTAGTCGGCACCAACATAGTTTTCACTTGTCTTAGTTTTCACTTGTCTATACAGGATGTCTGCTCTGAGTCACTTGAGGTAATGAGAGTCCATCAAATTTTCTTTCTGCATATTGCTTTTCCACTAGTTCTAATTCTTCCTATGCCCTTCTGCAGTCATGGTTCTGAAGATATTGCTGAGCAAACCATTCTACCCCATGCTCTTTAAAGCTTGATCCATATTGTTACATAGCACATTTATATGTTGGAGGATGAACGATTTTGCACGGATGTTGAGGAACAGATTGATAGCAAATATAGTTTATATAACATGACTAAAACATTGGTATTAAATTTGTTCATTTCCCGAGTTTGCAAATCACACTGATTGTTTCACACTTTGTTCTTGTATGATGTAATGTCAGACTCGGAATATATGTGTAAGATGTTGTAGTTCTGTTTTGCACTGGAAAGAAAGATAACAGATGTATTACTGTTAGGCCTGTTATACCAACACTAACTTGTTTCGATTGTTAAGCTGCTCAAGTGGTCATTTCTTGGCTTATCTTATCATTTTTACGATTGTACACTAAATGATTTACGTTCATTGAGGAAAAATGATGTGAAGTGCATTCCAAAATATGATAAGAGTTAATGAAAAAATTAAAAAAAAAAAAAAAAAAAAGAGCTGGTAGAAAAATGTTACTGCAAGTCTGCAACTAGCGCTACAAATGGGTCGGGTCGTGTCGTGTTCGGGTCATATTTTTTAGGGTCAAAAACCCCCGACCTGAACCTGACCCTTTAATTTCAGGTTGTGTTCGTGTCAATCCATTTAACTTTTCGTGTCGAAAATCTCAACCCTAACATGCTTTTTTCAAGTCGTGTTCGTGTCGTGTTTTTTGTGTCATGTCAACTTTTGCTAGCGCTACAATTTTTTTTTCCACTATTTTTTATTTGGGCTTGAGTTTTTTAGCCCAAGTAATATTTTTTATTTTTGGATTTTTAAGCTTCGTGTCATTTCAGGTCGGTTTCGTGTCGAGAAGTTCAACCTGAACTTGACCCATTTAATTTCAGGCCGTGTTCGTGTCAACCCATTTAACTTTTCGTGTCAAAAATTTCAAACCTAACCCGCTTTTTTCAGGTCGTGTTCGTGTCGTGTCAACTTTTGTCAGCGCTATCTTCTGCAACTACCTTTGTTGGGAGACCATGCATCTTAGTAGATATGAACTTATTTGATTAGTCCTTATTCAACATATTTTGGGGTACTGTATGAGGCTCTTTTGGACCTAATTATAAAATTTTACAACCTGATGTGAATTGTATGAACTTATTAGACTTGAAAATAATTTAGAAAAATATGCGAGAAACAACAATTTATAAGCACCTTTTTATGTGAAACAACCTTTTAAATTTCTTTTGGCATTCAATAACAACCTTAAACAATTTTTTTTGTTTTTTTTATTTATTTTGGCGAGGTCAGAATTTCAACGTTAAATTTAGATCACAAGCGTTTGTCAAGGCATTCAACACCTTTAAATGCAAAGATCAAACATAAAAAAAATACCATGATCAACGCCTAGAAATGAGAATTAACATCAGAAAATAAGTTACATGGTCTAATCTCGCAAAAAAAAAAAAAAAAAAAAAATTGAAAAAAACTGTTTTAAGTTGTCAGATGCCAAAAGAAATTTAAAAGGTTGTTTCTCACAAAAAAGAAATTAGTTTAGGAGAACTCAAAAGGTTAAAATGGGGGTTAAGGGTTTTTTTTTTTACATTAAATTTACTGGTTTAGCAATGATCAGTAAGCCAACCTACTAAAACCTTAAATGAATACAAAATTAGCTTATTCTAGAATTAATTAAAGTTGATTTTGATGAGGTTCAAGACTTCAAGGAAGGTTTCTTGAAACTTTCTTGTAGTTCTTGCAAGCTTATCAAACTTTCTTGAGTTTCTTTATTAGTTTTGCGTGCTTCTTTAATGTTTTCATCAATTTTTGATATGGATTAAGATTAGGATGTTATTTTTATTATTTTATTTATGATCGAATAAAATAAGATTATTAGTTAGTTTAATTATGTCGAAATTAGATTTAGTTTGTTATATCTAGATTTAGTTTGTTAGATTTAGATATAGTTTGTTATTAGATAAGATATGGCTTGTATATCTTATCCTAAGTTAGTTTTAGCCTAATAAGCTGTATTATAAATAATGGTCGAAATAATCAATAAAATCAATCTTGTTTATTCAATCAAAAATCTGGAACGAAAGTTTCACAAGTGTAGCGTTGCTTCACAAGGGATTTGTGGAATCCTATTCTTTCCCAATTCGTTTTACAATCAAACTATAACACTAATTTGTGGAATAAAATCCACATATGGCTCTGATACCAATTTGATGTGGATTTTCTACAATAATCGTTTAATTTTCTACTATAAAAATAATTTAAAAAACATGATCAGGGCATAATCGTAGTTACACGATGAAGACTATCGATGGAAAATTCTGGAATATTCTCAAGCGTACGAGGATAAGCGTGTGAGTCACCAACACGCAATTTATCCAACAAACGTGACAATCATCCAGATGAGCGTCATAGCGCTCATTTGGATAAGGCCACAAAAAATTCGAGGCGAAGGCTAACATCCAGGAGGGAGCACCAAGACGCTCAACGAGCGCCATAGCGCTCAACCAAGGCGCGCTATAGCGCTACCCCTGGTGAGCGCTATAGTGCTCGTTAGACGCCATGGCGCTTATTCTTGGGTTCCCTATCTATACCTAGAATATAAAAATAGGCCCCTAAAAGCATATGTGTCATACTCTCCTTCAATCTCTCATGATTCCTAAATGCTTTTGTTGGTTGACACGTGGCGCTACAATTTATTCCTAACAACCAAAAATGATCTACCTTCTTCTACCGGTGTCTCTCCAATTTCCCACTAGCTGTTACAAAATCATATGATCTTACCTTACATATATTCAACCTTTCATTTTTCCCCATTCACTTCATCAACTTAATGCACACAATAAATCATATTTGGAGCAAATGCCTACAACTCTTATTTAAAAGCCAAGAACCAAAGTTACTACTCCCATCAAAATTGGTAAGCTAACCTTCAATCATTACTTACAAATTTTTAACATTTTATGACTATCTTATTTGGATGCTTCATCTACTCTTTCATACAAACATTATTAATCAACATCCTACTGTACATTTTCCTAAATAACATACTTCATAATTTTTCATGAAAATCATAATCAAACTACATTATGATCAAAATTTGGGGCGTAGGAACTTGGCATCATCATATCATATCATGTCTAATTGCATTTACCTATATAAACAGACCTAAATTTCGTATTTGTTGTTCCTCTTTTTTCAAGTGCTACTCAATAGTCTTTTCTAAAGTTTGATGTTTTTCCCCATTCATTCCACCTCCCTCATCAAGCCCTATTCTTTCATTACACACCATCATTACACCTTCCATCATCTACTAATCTATTATCCCTTTGTATTCCTTCTTTTCGGTTGTATTTAAGCATATATTGAACTAAATATAGTCTAACTTTACCTATTAACTACTTTCTATGACTCTACTACGAGTACATATATCATAATCTATTAATTTGAAAATATTTGACTTATTTTTCCAATTGAAAGTTAATTCTACTACTGGGACATGCAATCCTAGCTATACCTCTAAGAGCATAAGTGCAAAATTGGAGGCAGCTAACAATGAGTCTTTTCTTCCGTTGTTGAGAAGAATTTATTTCTTCTTAAAACTCATTTCTTTGCTTCGTGCACACATACTATATATTAAAATCTATATGTAAACAAAATTAGTGATGAGTTATGCTTGAAATTTCCAATTGCTTTATTTTTTATTTTTTTTTGTTTTTTTTTTTGGTTTTACAATATACGAGTAAAGATAATTTTTTAAACTAGGGTCATGTTAGGGTTGTCTTTTTGAGTAAATCATAATATTCAATATTTATAATTTTTACAGATAATAATATTATAGATATAAATGATGTAAAATGTAAACTATAAAGCATATAAATTGTAAATGTATAATATTTCATGAAACTAAACATAGCGAGTAGTAGTTTAAAATATGTATTTTACCTCGATGGTGTGGTCTATTAAGACTATATTGGCCATGAAATGAACGGACTGAAAAACTAGTTATAAATAGGAGGCCACCCACGAGCATTTTGGCTAAATTTTGACATTCTATTGTCCTTCTACTTCCGTACTTACTCTCGTACTCACATTCTTTCTCTCATTTCCACTTAAAAACAAAACACAAACCACTTAAAACACATTTTCTTTCTTACTTTTGGCTCTTTGGCTCAAGATATAAAAAAGGTATTGCGCGCAAATGTATAATTATGAGGTCATAACTCATAATTCCCCTTCTTTCCTTTATTTTGATTCTTTTTAATTCATTATTATAATTATGTAAATAATTCAAACCTTTAATCATATAAATATTTGATTTTTAACCATGTTAATATAATTTTTTAAGTAATTAGATATTAATCATGTACATAAATAAATCATATTTAATTACTTTCTTTATTTTTATTTTTATTTTTATTTTGTTATTACTAACTCTTCTTTGTGTTTGATAAGCAGAACCGATCATATTTTTTTTTTATTTCTAACCTTTATTTTTCTTTTTCTTATTTAGTTGCAGGTATATAATTAATTTATTTTCCTTTTGTATATATTTTCTATTTACTATATATATTCGCAAATCGATGCAAAACCGCAAGCGTCACCAAGGCTAGCCGGGCTGCCCAGCAACCTGCATGTAGGCTGCCTATGGTGCGCGCATGGGCTGAGCATCGAAGGTGCGTGGCTGTGTGGCGAGGGGTGCTAGTGCACTAGGCTTGGGCAGTGGCGTTGGCTGCTGGATGCTTGGGATGCTGCTTGGCAACGTGGTAGCAAGCACCAGCCAGCCCACCACTTGCTGGCAGGCGCTAGCATGCGTAGCAAGCAGCTGGTGCTGGCCAGTGTAGTGTGCTGTGCTGGGCGCAGCATACTAGCACCAAGCGCCATTGTGCTGCTGCTGCGTGTGTGGCGTAGGCTATTGGCGTGCTTGTGCTGCTGCTAGGTAGCGAGGCAGCAAGCCCCAGCCAGCCAGCCCACTGCGGCCTAGCAGCCATGGTGCGCAATGCACCATGCATGGTGGTGGCTATTTTGCTTAAAACTTGAGCTATGTATTTTGCAAAATTTAGCCGTTTTAAAATATTTATGTAATTATTTTAATAAGGTAAAAACCTCGTTTTTCGGTTTTTGCAAAATTTTGACAAATTAAGGGTTAAGCCAACTTAATTAATCGGATTAATTAAGTATGGATGCGGAATTTAGTGGGAGCTTATTTGATTGCGTGAGCAATTTGCATTTTAGAAATAATAAATTAAACAACTTTGACTAGTTTTAATTAGGCGCGTTAATCGGATTAACCACCTAAGTTAGTTACTAGTTTTGCGTGTTTAATTGTGTATTTCGTAATATGCATGGGCCATTCACAAATAGTGAATGGGTGAATGGAAGATTGTTTTCAAAACAGGTTATTGAAAAAAGGCAACTAGTAGGGCCCGACTAGGATAGAAAATACAGACTGCGTTCCGTTGTGTATTTTTGTAAATCTAAA